CGCTTTTATCAGACAAAATAAGAGTTGTCCTGACTTGTATTTATTTGAAATACCTGATACACACTGAAATTATAGTTATATGGTGCATTTGATTTTCAAATATTTTAAAATACTTTATAGTACATAAAAGAACTTGATCTCACTATTCCTCCCCAATTCTTAATTCTTTAAAAGATAAAACTAACAGCAGCTGACTTGATGGCTGAGTTCCATCCCCATACTTTTTGCAGCACCCTCTTTTAGAGAAGATGCTTAATGGGAAGTGATACTTAGGAAAGGGTTAAGTCATCAATACCCAGTGATCCAGTGCTCTCTTTAGTAATAGTCTCCTATGGCCAGGGACCACTGAGTAGGATTTTAATTTTTTGGTCTTCTTTAGAAAAGACATTTTTATTTATCATTTTGGTCTTAAGTAGATCATGTTGATTGGTCTGAAATCTTATGTTGAGAAATTTAAGTTCAATCACATTCTTTGACACCCTTAAGCTTATTTTATAGTTTTATACTTCTGAATTCATAGAATATATTTAATATTAAGTACTCAATATTCAATAAAATAATAGAATTCATTGATCATATTTAAGAAATAGTTCACTTTTTAGCTCATGTTTTCATAATTTAAATGGAGCTTAAGATTCTTCATATGCTATTTTTTTGCCTGTAACATAAATCAGATATATAAATGTACTCCTTATTACTAAAATAGTATATGTATGCTCTGCCTCCCCCAAAGAAAGCTAGAAACTAGAGAAGAAATTAGACTGTTAGTATTGTGGTTAGAGTTTAGTTCTGCAGTCTTCATATTGTTCCTGAAGTAAGTGAACATAGTATTGTCACAGAAAATGCTGAAGTTGAAAACTAAGTTTTCTTCTATAACCACAGAAATTGTTTGATTACTGGATCTGAATTGTGACTCACCACTATGTGTGAAAAGAAAACCTTTTCCAACTATGTAGTTTGGAGATTTGCCAGATATGATCCTGTTCCTGCTTTTGAGATTCTTGCTACCATATAGCCTGACTGAGAGAAGAGTTCGGTTTGGAAGAATAAAAGAACAGAATAGAGCTTCCTTATAATTTCTGCCTAGTATTTTCCATATTGCTTTGGAAGTTTTGAATATGTGGGATTCTTTGTGCAGTTATCGCTATTGTGGATTAATGAAAAAGTACAATAAGTACAGGAAAGGCATAGCCTCAGTTCTTGAGACATGGTTTTTTTTCCTAATGCATCTATATTGCTTCTTTCTAGTGGATTTGAATCTGCTGTAAATTTTTAATCTTTGTTCTGCTACTTTGAGAGATTTGAATATTGACTTTCCTTTGCTTCCCCACCCCATCAACCTTCTACACTCTTTCTTTTGATAGGGAATGGGATTTGGATCTGAAGAAATTGCCGAACATTAAAATGAGAAAAATTTGTGCTAATGATGCAGTTCCCAAAAAGAGCAAGAAGAAAACTGTTACAACTGTAGACAAAGATTCAGGGGAATTGAAACTAAAAGATGAATCAAGTGACTCAGATGAGGAGATGACTGCAGTGGCCTAATTGTCCCTTATTTGAGTTGAAAATAAGTAATTTGCCTCAAGTTACACTTGAATTGATGATGGTAAATAATTGTCTAGGTCCAAAAATTTGTTAGTTAACTTACTCTCATGTGGTGAGAATTCTAGTTGCAGTTTCAAAAACAGTGTTATGATTTTTATTTTAAAATGTTGCTTTTTATTTACATTAAATTGCTAAATAGATACAGTGAAATAAAATTATGGTCTTTAAGAGCCATTTAATCTGAATTTCTGGGTTGGGGGAGCAACGTGAATAAGTACAAAAAATGATTTTAGTTTTTTTTTAGGATCATCTAATCTCACAGTTTGGGGCATGGACAGCAAACCTGTTTTCTAAAAGGGTCCTATGGATACTTCTTGGGAAGTGATAGCAAAATTGTCTTTCAGTACTAATATTTTACTAATCTTCCTCTTAATCATTCATGCTATTTTCTTTCCTTAAGAAACAGGAAAAATGTAATGTGATTTCATATATACTGATGGGATTGTATATTATTTTTATTTATTATCTTTAAAGTTAAATGGTAAAAAATAAATTATTCTTGTTATGCTGATCTACCACACCTTTATCTTTTGATAAAGTGGATAAATTGTTTCAGGTTAGCTCTTCTGTTAGTATGTTAATGTTATTTCCTGCTTTCTCATTGTGAGAAGTGGTGTTTTGTGGGACTGAAGATTAGAGAACCAATTATTTTAGTTTTGTTATTTTTTATTCTGTGACATAGGTTAAATGACATATAAGTCAATATTTCAAGTGTCATTGAAAACATGGATGTGTTAGAATATTCTTCGTAGTTGTTAAGTGCAAGTATCTTTTAGTCTATTTTCTAAAGGATGCAATTCAAATGTATTTGAGTATTTTTGAGAAAAGAAAATGTGAAACAATGTTTTTAATTTATAACTTTAGTTATGAGGTTAAATATCAACTAAGTGTTGTTAACAATTTGTTTAAAATGTTACAGATCTTTTGCTTCTGAAAATTAAAAATAAAATTGATTTCCATAATTTCACTTCTTAAGGTTCTGATTATTCTGTTTTCCTTGATAATAACTGATGCTGATTCACTTTTGCATCATTAGTCTGTGTAATAAAACTGTTGTTTTATGGTTACTAAGTTCCTGTTTAGCTTTTGAAAATTTTCCTTTTTTTAAATTTTGGTCTCAAAATGCCTATAAAAATTGAATCACAAATTACAGTAAAGAGAAAAACAGTTTTATCTGGTCTGATATTTAAAAAGCCATACTATTAGATGAATAACTTGTAAAAATAGCAGGTCATCACCCCTCAAATATTTGTTGCTAGTTTATCAAAGCATTAAAAATATAAAAAATATAATAAAAATATAACAAGCCACATGGCTTAGAATTAGAACAGAGGAATAATTATGGAATGAATGAGTTTACTTTACCATTTGGGACCATAATTGTCGTGGCACTCCTGGCTGGACCAGAGTAGTCTAAGAGATCATTTGTCATTACAGTAATGGTTTTAAGTGATATCCTTAATCATCTTCTACAGAACGTGTTCTTTCTGCAGCAGTCACCTGTGCACCCCTACCTGGATCCCTTCTCAGCCAGTCGTATACTTTGTAGGATAACTTCTGCAGTTCGTGGCCATGAGAACAGAGTAAAAGTAACTCACCTGTGGGCACTCTATAACGTAGTGGCTGGCAAACTTCTTTTTTGCCCAGTGCCAGAGGCAAATATTTTAAGCCTTGAAGGTCAAGTGCAGTTTCTGTTGGCACATTCTTGTGTTTGGGTGTGTGGGTGTGTGCCTTTTAAAAATGTGAGGAACATTTTTAGTTCATGGCCCATACTTTGTTCAGTAGCTTCCTAACTGGCCTTCATGCAGCCATTCTTGCTCTTAATCCATTGTTGAGAGTTACTTGTGAATTTTTAAAAAGTGGAATTTCAAAATATAACCTAAAATATGCTATTCCTTTGTTCAGGACTCTTACATTATCATTTTATCACATCTTTTTAATGGTATGTTCATTTACTTGATGGAGTATAATATTATTTCTACATTAAAAGATATTTTTATTTTTTCAGAGCAGTTTTGGTTCATATCAAAACTGAGAGGAAGGTAAAGAGATTTGTCTTAAACCCCCTGCCCCTACAAGTTACAATTGACATCCATCACGTTTTGAATGAAATTCATGTTCTGTAACAATGGCCAGAGGGTCTTGAAATGATTTGATTCCTGACTGCTTCTCCAACCTCAGCGTGTTTCCACTTGCCCTTGGCTTTCTGTACTTGAGACACAGCGGCCTTCTGTCCATTCCTAGGATAGCCACCTGTCACCTATAGTGGGACAGCTCTGTGCTGGCACTCGGATGACCTTGTGTGTGTCCAGTCAGTCCACTTAGGTCAGGTGTGGCTGCAGCTGACCTGAGCCTAGAATGCTCTAATGTTCCTCAAACATGGGGACATGACACTTGTGAGGAACTGCCATGGGCCACTTCACATTTACCTCCTTACTCACCAGGGAGGACACATGAGACAGTTTGTCATTGCCTCCCAGGTTCTGATGAAGCATGAAACTTTCTATCTTGAGTGTCTTTTAGAATGTAGATGCAGGATATAAAGTTGCTGAAGTGCAGTGTGGAATCAGCGACCCAGCAATAGGGCGCCCACCCCTGAAGTTGCATTATCATATTATATGTCCCTTTTCCTTTTTTCCTTTTTATGTTCTCCCTTGGGACAAGACTCATGGGGAGCTGGCATCATTGTCAATATCTTTTGCTGTCTGTCAGTAAACTGACTCTAAAACGGACTTGTTTCTTTACTGGCTGAATCTTGTTCAGTGTTGCCCATTCAGGACTTTGATACTTAGTGTTCCCTCTGCCTGTGTAGACATTTCCTGAGTTAGTGTCTCTGCCCACACCTTGGCTGCCCTTTGTATCTCTGTCACAGCTCCGAGTTTTAGGATCACTAGCTGAACATACCGTGACAATGATTTGTGATCCAGGAGTGTTAGTTATAATTTGGGAGGTGGGAGAAGGCTTAGACTTTGGGGCTCTGTAGAGGACATTTTCTTCACTAATCACCAGACCTCTTAGCTTAGAAATAGATTCCAAAGTATCTAAATCTATGCTTTTATTATCTGAGTAAAAAAATGCTGTTAAATTCTTTTGTATATCCTTATTTAGGAGAAAATCCTTTCTCTAACCTACATTGTGATTTTTCTTAAAATTTTTTTTTTTTTACAGATTTTATAAGTCTGTATAGATAATTTCCACTGGTTTTACCTTGTTAATGCACCTATTTATTCCTTTCTACAATGTCAGGGTTAGTCAGCCCTTATTGGCCTTAAAATAATAATAAATGTTTAGACCCTATTTAAACTCAGACCACTGTGGAAACCTAACAGTTCAAGCCTGTTTGAATGTTGCAGATACAACTCCACAGAAATCCTGGTAAGTGAGGCAAGAGATACAGAAACCACAACAAAGATTTGAGTCACTTGTTTAATATACAAAGTCTTTCACAGATAATTATTTCTTTTCCTTAATTTGTCTTAGTACACATTATTCACAAAACAGTAAATTGTTAATGCAAGAGAATTAGGTAAAATCAAAAAAATTACAAATGCTCAATCTCAAAAATTGCGCACAGTTAAAATAGTTTTTCCTTTTGTTTTAATGTAATATCCAATTTCCAAATGGGCTTTTTTCAGATGTGGAGGAAACACTGCAGCCCAAAATAACAGTATTCCTTTCAGCTGTATTAATATGTAAATAGCACCTTTGGGCTGACTTATGGAAAGAAAGGTTTTCATCTTTCTTAATTAAAGTGTAAGTCCTGTACAGTTATATGTAACAACTACAAGAATGGTAATAATAAGTTTTAAGAGCTTCATTTTGTTCTGAAATATTCGTTGGCATGGCAAAGGAAAGATTCACGATGTCAGGTGGCTGGAATAATCTTCCCCACCTCACCCTCGTGAAAATTACGATGTCTTAATGATATCATTGCTCTAATGAGCTGATTTTCCAACCAAAAAATAGATGTTTTAGGGTGCCCAAGGACCTTTTATAGCACAACATAAGTGAGGTCATCTCTCTGGGACTGTATTCACATGTTACAGCAGCTCCGAGATTGAAATTTGGGGGGCATTCATTTTTAAAGATTCAATATATGCCTATTTTCCTTCAATTTCTCCATTGCTATATCTCAGGTTGATGGGATCATTTTCATTTTGAATTTTTTTATTTTTGCTTGTGTTCTTAAGCTTAATTGCCTTTTGGGCTTCACTTAAAAAAAAATGGATTTCATTCCTTTACAATTTAGTCCTTGATCCTATACAGTAAAAGTGTACAGCATAAATATCTGTGGTTTATGGCATTGGTAATGCCACAGATTCATGGTTACAAAATGCCAACGTTTTTAACAGAACTGTTAAGTTCATTCTTCAGTTTTAGTCCTTTGTTTCAATTCAATTTCTCTCTTACATGAGTGGGTAAACATGCTTCAAAAAAATGTCATTCTGGAGAGCAGTTTTTCTTTTTGAAGGGTATATCCAGTCCACAAAAGCTTAACAAAGTGAAATCCTTTCACTGAAAAGGCAAATGTACCATTGCCACATGGAATATAAAAGAAATAATGTTTGGTTTTAAATGCTTGTGGTTATTTCAAATTGAACCATAAAATACCCATTGCAGGAAAAAGTTTTAAAAGATTTGAAGTTAGGAGTTGAGAGTTTAAAAAGGTCAGAAGAATAGCAGAATAAAATGTTGGCTTTTAACCTGCTAAGGAGCTATATTATTTTCTCATTTAACAAAGTCAAAGCCTATACAAGTTAATTTTGAGAATTTAGGAATGGTTTTAAAATACCATGTTACATGTTATGATTAATGCAGTAATGCTTTTCTAGAAATGTTTTCTTAGTGTTAAGTGTAGGAGGCCTTATTTTAGCCAGTCTTCTCCCACTGTGAAATGTATTATGCACTTACTGTCTTGGCTTAGGCTGGTTAAGAACTTAAGCAGTATTTTTGGTGGTAATTAAGGTAGATAATCCTTTTCCTTCCAGAGCAAACAAAAGAAATCAATATTTCTTTGTTTGAAGGTGACACATTTTCTTCCCCCAGGAATATTTGTAAACAACATGTTGCCATTGCTTAAACCACAAGAAAGAAGAATTAGTAAAATGCTTAGGAAAATCAACAGAAGAATTGAGTCAAGATTAATCCCTTGGGTGAGGTGCCGTGGTTAAATCACCCATAGCTTGCTAATCATGAATATATCTTAAAGCTTTAAAATGGAAATTTAAGAGCACATTAATACAAAGTGTAGTTTAAGGTTCATATTTTTGTGTTACACCACTTATGTCCTTATTTGCACAGAAATTTTAGTCCTTTACCTCAATTTTGCTTTCCCTATGTCTTTATTCCATGCTCCTACAAATGTTATGAAAGATGAGTTTTAAGTCTTCTGTTTCCTGACTGAAAAACTTTACCATTTTTCTTATGTATATACATGAACACACAAACACACACCACTCACAAAGTTGACACAGTTTACCTTTTCTTTATTTCTAGGAATTGGGACTATTTGGACTCACTGTCAGCCACTACTAATATTCATATCATCTTGCTCCTCATTAAGAGGTTATTTCTTTTTCCTTGTAACTATAATAACCTGTGAAGAACAAGCACACTGATAATTACAAAGTGCATCATTGTATACCCAGATTTGTGCAATGCCAAACCATGATTTTGGGATTACGGCCATCATGGTTGCCTTTTCACAATAATAAATATGACAGCTAACAAAAATAAATCACCTTTTTTTTTTTATGTAAGACACCTTTAACAGGCCACTATATAATCATTAATCTAGCTCACTGCAATATCATTCACACTTCAGTTTTACATGAATATGCAAACACAATAATCAACTGTCAGACCTGAACAACTCAATTTATTACTCATCACAGAATCTGTTGAATGTTCTTGCGTCCTAGCTGAGCAAGGGGAACACTGTCAGCTTTTTAAAACAGAGTCTAAATGCTTGTTCATAACTACTCATCTGTCAAGTTTTATCGCCCTTTATGTGGACTAAAAAAAAACCTTACAAATCTGGCTTAATAAGAAGAGCATTTGATTTTTATTTTCCCTGTCATAAGTGCTTATTGTAGCAAACAAGTAAATTTCAGAACTTTACTACAGGCAGATTGCTTTATCTTTCTGTACTTTTGTGTTTTCACCTTTTAGAGAAATAGTAACTATCTAACTCTTCAACCAGGTTATTTAATTTGATTTAGTGCTTTGTATGACACTTGTGACACTTTGAATAAAAGAATAAATTAAGCTGCTGTTCTGATAAATTCAACTGTTAAATGAAGCAGAGGCTCTGTCTTTAATTTTAGGGCTGTGCTATCAGATATGGGTAATTCAAATTGAGATATGCTGTTAGGGTAAAATACATACTGGATTTTGAAGACTTGGTTCATGAAAATGTAAAATAGCTCAGTAATTTTTAATATTCATGACATTTTGAAATAACAGGCATATTGTATTAAATAAAAATATATTATCAAAATTAATTTTACCTATTTGTTTTTACTTTTTCTAATGGGACTACTAGAAAATTTTAAGTTTATATATGTGGCCTGAAGTTGTGGCCCACATTATATGTCTGTTGGACAAAACTGTAAGGGAGCAGAAAAAATACAGTATTTGATAGCTGATTTCAACTTGTGTGTTTAACAGACTTAATTAAACCCCAAATATCTCTGAAAATCATTTGTTCATGATTTAATCCTAATTCCAAATATTAATATCTTCAAATATGTATTGCATCTTTTAAAAACATGCATCTGTCAAAACTGGACTGTACTATGCCCATAAAAGTCTGTTCACTGTCCAGGTGTGACTGTCAGAATAGGCATCTTCCGAGTCTGCTTCTGATGAGACTTAGGGATGATGCAATTTCAAGCTTAAAACCAAATATGTTGTTTCCAGATGAGACAGTTAACATTGCAAGGCCTTAGAAGAAATACACATTGCAATTCAAGTCTATATTCTTAAACTTTCCCCTGCTACGATAAAGACACCTGTGTCTGCTTAGTCTTTTGTCACTGCCTAAAAGCATTCCTTGATCCAGTGGTTCTTAATTGTCATAGAAATCACTCTAGCAAACTTTTTGCATTTCCATATCACACCTTAGACTCTGCTTCATGGGGTCCTGGTCACTTGGTGTTTTTTCTCCTTTCCTTTTTGAGCAAAGTAATGAAGAAATGAGTCAGTAGGAGAAAGAGGAGAAGATAGAAAGTGAATAATTCAGGATCACTTCTGTCATTTGTAGTGGCTGAGGGCTAGAAGGATATTCTTCAGTGAAGAAGCTCCAAACCAGTTCTGTCACACTGGTATAACTTCAGGGGGACTGCCCTCTGCAGATGGCAGTGAATTTGTACCCGTTTGTAATACAGGCACCACCACTGCATCCTTAATGTCTGTGTTCACATTGCATGAGAAGTTCTTTTCCTGTTTTTTGGCAGTGTCTGGGCAATTTTGCACAAAGATCACACGGTTATAGGCCTTCAGCCTGCGCCATAACTGCACGTAGACTTTACACTGTACATACATGAAGACAAGACCTCCTGTGAAGCCAATGGCCACCACAACCAGTTTTGTCCAAAATGGCCATTCGAGGACACCTTCAAAATAAAATAGAGAATGTTATCACCGGGTTATCCATGTATTTGATGAATTTTTTTCTGTGGTTCCTTCAAAAGACCATGTCTGCCTGCTAAATTTTGTGGATAAGGAATATACTGTTAATAATTAGTATGAATTATAACCTGAATTGTTTACTTGCTTTCAGATATTCTAAGGGTATTAAAATTGTATATTAAGTTATTCTTTGACCTACCACTGTAATGAGTTCTCTTATTTTTCCTAGCATGTAGTACCTGCCGTGATTCTCAGATACTACACCAGACTTCTAACACTTAGACATTTATTCCTCATAGCTAAATCTGAGGAAGGAAAGTGAACATACTGAGTGAAAAAAATCAGAATTTAAAATCCCTTTATGAAGATAAAGTAATAGATAAATGTCCCCTCCCATCCTCATTCCCTTTAAAATAAAAACAAAAAACATAAAAATTGAGGAAGAAAGAAGCTGCCACATCTTACTAGAGTGCGAAAAAGGGAATTTCAGAGTACAGACAGGCATAAGATTTAGGATTTTAGTCATTTGTTTCATAAATCTGTAATCAAGAACCATCGCTTTATTAGGTGTCAGTATTTTCTCTGTTTCCATCACCATAACTGGAAATTGGTTTCCTTTCACAGTTTTTAAAACTACTTCACAAGAGTTTCTGTAAGTTTAGGCTACACATACTTGCAAATATTAAATACATGATTGTCAAGAGTCCTCTTGCCAACATGAGGATGGCGTGGAGGATATAATAGCTGCCTTTATTCATGTGAAAGGTTGTCAAATAAGAATGGCTCAGTATGGCAGACCAAGAAGGGTTGGTTAGAAACCACTTTTGTTTATGAGTCTGATTCTACCTTGGGTTTTACTTACTGTTACTTATAAAAGTAACAGTAAATGGAGTTATAAGAAATATCCTACCTATATTTTGTAATAGTGACATCTGCTTTATGCTTTTGGAAACAAAGCAGACGCCGTTTCCAGATGTTGAAGGGCGTATTCAGTGCCTGCCTCAGTTCTCTGTGCAAGGAGAACAGTCATCTGATATACTCAGGGTACACCAGTGGCTTTCAATTGTGGGTAGTTTTGTTTCCCAGGGGATGTTTGGCAGTGTCTGGAGATGCTGATTCTCATACCCTGTGGTGGTGGAGTGGGGTGCTACTGACTTAGCAAGTAGAGGCCAGGGCTGATGCATAAACATCTTAGAGTGTATAGGATAGCCCTACCCAGCAAAGAATTATCTAGTCCAAAATGTCATTAGTGCTGAGGATGGGAATCTATGTTGTAGAAGAAAATCAGTTAAGCTTATTTATTAGGAAATTTGCAGGGAAGATTCCGTATGCAAATTAAACATCTTAGAATTCTCCAAATTTAGAATTTTTTGACTGTTACAGTGAGCAATGGGTTCTGTGTTTAGAAAGCTTTTAACCACAGACAAACTGGAGTTGAAGTGTGCTTTGTCTCCCATTTTTAGGGAAATTCTCATGCATTACATCTGATTTTCCCTTCTGTTGGTAATTCAAACTACCAACTTCCTTGTAAGCACCTGGAGATTTTCCATTTCTGAGCCTTTGTCCATGAAATACTAAATTTTGCTGCCCTATTTCTGCAGTCTCAATGTACAATTATTAAATTCTTGCAGGTTTCTTTTCTGTAACTGTATATATGTGAGGTATTGACAGCTGTCATCTTCCATGCCATCCCCAAATAATCAATAGAAAGTCAGTCCACAGTTTGTATTTATAGAGAGAGAATGAAAGCCTTTCTGACAAAGGAAAGCAGATGGACCTTTCAGCTCATCACAGGCTCTTGAGAGTCTGCGGGCAAGATTTTTCTTGAAGGTCAGAAAGGGAAACTGCAGAGTCCAGGTAAAAGTAATTGTACTTAGAGAACCTCAAAAAAAAGGTACAAATGAAAGAGGAAAATTTGTATTTTTTCCGCATAAAAAAATCTCCCAGATCTTCACAGCATTACTGGGATTGCTTAAGGAGACATGGACTGGGGGTATATCAGGGCATTTCCCCACCAGGCACCTGGGACTATGGTTTGTCGATAAACAGGACCACTGTCATTGACTGAATCTTTCATCTCCTTTATGTCACTATTGTCTTTTATCTTCACTCAGAGAGACCCCCTCCTTGACTAAGAAATACCCAAATCCCAAATGATTCAGACTTTTGTTCAATTTTTTTTTTGGCAGATTCAACTCTAACAGGATTTCCCTCATGATGGTTGATGGCTTCTCAAGGCCTGGTTAATCCCCACTCATTCCTCAAGGCTATGGGTCTTATTCCTAAGAATCAGTGACTTCAGCCTCCCTGTCTTCCTTCATCCTAATACTGGCAGCCATTCCATGCACCCCCTGGAAGTGTCGGCACTGTCGCCTGGAATTCTCCTTGGCCTCGGTGGCCTCATCCTCAGTAGCTTGTCAGTAACAGCCCCCAGTGGGGTTGTGCTTCCCTGTGACCCCACAGGCATCCTCTCCTTTGCTGTCACTGGCCATTGTCATGTGACTTGCTCAATCAGTAGAACAGTAGAAATATGGCACCACAGAAATTCAAAAGTGTTCATACATTGTGGTTTGAATACATTTTTAAACACTGCAGCTGCCATGAAGAAGGCAGAGCCACCAGGCTGGATGATAAAAGACACACAGCAAGGTCATTTCTGTCACCCAGCCAATAGCGTGTCCACTGTCAGACACGTAAAGGGGGCCATTCTTGGTTATGCAGCAGCCCGTTAACGTGTCCTGAAATGCCTAAGCGGCAACTGGGTGTTGTATTTGTTAGGAAACATTTATGCCAAACTTTCAGGCCATAGTGACAATGGTTTATAAGCTGGGATGTATCCACTGGTTTCTTTCAGACTCACTTTCTTCGCAGAATCTTGTTTCTCTAAGAATATGTGTCCTTTTCAGTAGAATAAGGCCCCTGCCCCCTCCACTGAAGGCACACAGCCCAGGGCACCTGCATCGCCTTGGCCCTTTGTAAAGCTGGATTGGGTAAAGCATGGCTCCCAGGTGGGAGTTTATACTATAACTGCAGATGAGGCAAGTTACTTATTTCCTCATATTTAAAGCAGTGATCTCTTAAGGTCTCTTCCAGATTTAAATTCAAATTCTCTGAGTATTCTGCCAATCTTAGGTAGCAGATGATGTGACTGGAGACACCTGGAGTGTGTCCAACATCTTTTTAAATCCCCCGAAAACAAAAGAGCAGTGGCCTCATTTAACAGCTGCAGGAACAAGGTATAATTAGGAAAAGCATTTCATTGGCAGTCAGGATATTTTTGGCTGGATGCTTAGGTTATGGGGACTCACAACACTTGGTGTGAGGGTGTGTGTGAGCCGTGCGCCGGGGACGTGGTTTTTTTCCTCTCTTTTTATCCTGGTGGCCTTTCTCTGGTTGGGTAAACTAAGAAAAACAAAACAAACCTGTTTCACATATTTATAACCTTCTCAACTTGTTTTGATGGTAATGTTCACTGTGAGTAAACACTGTGATATTTGTGCATTTGTATAAACACAATGCTTCAATTCATCTGACACGAGGTCCAGTTCATGGCATCTTTGAAAAATGAATCATAGAAAGAAACTTTGGAGGGTATTCAGTCCAACTTAGTTTTACAAGTGAGGAACTTGAGCTTCAGAGTGATATTATATTCGAGATATCTAGCCAGTGACCAAGACAACTACAACTTCGGACAACTAGTCCAAGTCAGTGTTTGTCCTATTTGGTTTGTTAACAATAACAGCACATGTAATTACTTTAAAAAAGTAAAAAGGGATGTTTAAAACAATGCTGAGAAGGCAAATACATGGCTTGCAGACAGGGAAGTGATTTTCAACACGTACTCTAAGCAGATGTTAACAGGTAACTGCTGCACAGCCACTGTTCTCAGCTGCTGGAGTCAGCCACACCCACCAAAGTTTCTGACCCTTTGCTAATAGCAAGTGCTCCCCGAATCATGAAACATGACTCCCCTGCCCTAGAGACACTAGCAGCTCACAAGTAAGACATGACAAAAAATTAATTTGGTACATACTAATCCTTTGTGATGTACATTTAAATAGTTCTGGGGCAACAATAAAATCTGCACCTACAGTCTCTTTAATGGTATCAGCTGTTGCTTTTTCTTGGTCTGAATTTTTGTTCTGTTTTCAACATACAAATAGTATACTTTTAGAATATGTAAAGATAAGGCAGGAAGAGCATGTGTTCTCCCAAATTGGAGTTGCCAACATGGGAAGTTGTGGGTGTTAAAATTCAACATATCTTTGTTATTGATATATGTCAATATGTGTGTATGTGTGTCACACACACACACAAATATATTTGTTCTGTCATCACAGGTGACAGTGACGTGACAGTGAGCCTCTGGGGTATCAGGTGTATTTAGTCTAAAAGAACACCGTTTAAAAACATGAAGGCTTTTTTCCCCTCCAGTATTGTTATTACAGTTCAGTGATTTTGCTGTTTTATATTCAACCTCAGCTCTGGTTGAAAAAGGACAGTTTGTTCCTCTTCAAATATTTTTGAAGGTTTCAAGGTGGATTTAAAATATTTTATCTTTTAAATCAGGCACATTTCTCAAAAATTTTTAAAGTAAATTTGTAATCAGCACTCCCAGTCCCAATGCTAAAGGAAGAGTAAAATGATAATTTATGTGGACAACCACATTGCTCATGACTGTGTGCTCTGGGAAGGAGTCTCTTCAGTATGAGGTGGACATGGGTACAGATGACGCTCTTTACAAAAGTCACTGTGTTTTCCATTTGAAGTGATCCGAGTTAGGAGCTGCCCCACAGGCAGCTGGCTCTGCAGGAATATTCACAGGCACTGCTTTTATGTAAAAATCTTGCTTCCTAACTCCAAAGCTTGGAAAACCAAAGGTAAAAGTTACCTCATTTTCGCTTGCTTTTAAGAAACCGAAAATAATTTTTAAAGTGTATATCAGTCAGCTGACCCTTGACTATGTATATAATACACTAGAAAATTGACCTTTGATTATCCTTGATTATCACTTGAGCTTCCTTATTGGAAAATCAGACTGAGGGACCTGAGTGACAGTCCACTGGAAGGCTGTGGTCTGAAATCCTGCATCCACCCAGACTGAGAAAAGAAAACACTATCCTGAAGAAAAGTTCCGTAAGGAAAATACAAGGTGGAAGAGCCTGCGAATGCACTCCATCATTCCTTCTGCAGCACCGACTGGGCCACCTGCAGGTCCCAGACACAGTGCTGAGCACCCGAATGTGCTGCTGAGCAAGAGAACACTGCTCAGATTGCCCTGAGCTCACAGTCAAGTGGTGAGGGGTACAGACAAAAAAAATGAGCAATTACAATAAAGCGTGGGCAAATCGCCGGTACGGCCGAGCTTCTCAACACGGTTGCACAACAGAACCACGTAAAAGATAATTAAACCTCAAGAATTTACATTTCTAACACGTGCCCTGGTGGTGCTTTTGGTTTCAGACACATTTTGAGGACCTTTGTGGTAGTAAAAGTGAGATTTCCCAGAGGGAGTGATGTGTTAGGAAAACTGCAAAGGCCAAGTGGGGGCTGGGGAAATGCATGAGAATGTGTGAGTACTTAAGTGAGTGGGCATGAGAAGCTGGGGGGAAAGGCCGCATGTGGAGAGAAAAGCTGGGCGAGGGTCTGGAAGTGGATCTAGGAGGCTGAACAAATGTTCAGCATAATTGGCTACAGCCAGGCCATGGGAGCGGTGTAATCCTGTTAAAGAGTTGGGGGTATATTTTCAGAGTAAGGACTAAGTAGGGATAGGATGTAAATAGATTTGTGTTTGTAAATATGCTGTGATTACATTGAGTGTGGGTTGAAGGTGGGCAAAGCCCAAGAAAGTCCAGATAAGAAGGTGTTGCAGTTTTCAAATAAAAGATGTAGATGGCACATGGATGGTGGCAGTGGTGAAGGAGAGAGATGGACAGATTTTGGCGGCATATGAAGCAGAATAAAAGGACTTGGTGATTGACTTAAGGTGAAAGGGAGGGAGGGGAGAGGAGGAATGGAAGCCGGATTGGACTGGTTACTGGGTGTCAGCGCAGGAAGTGGCAGTAGGTCATGGATTTGGACGCCCTGAGCTTGGGGTGCCTGGAGGCTTAAGGGGAGGAGTTCAGGAAGCACGTGGTGGGTAATTTGGAGCACAGATGAGCTGGAGGTAAACGGAGGCCCAGGTTATCAGCACAGAAACGACAACTGGAAACAGAAGGGCATCCAGGGGGCTGGAGAAGGGTATCACAGACAGAGTGAGATAAATGGGAGCACACATGGGGCCATGGGTTTCTAGGGGTCTGGAGACTGGTGGCCCAAGCTGAGAAGGTGGTTCATTGTAGGATAAATGATGACTATTCCATCGCAGGTCTCAGAATTGGGATTGAGTGAATGAAGGTAAGGGAGGTTCTGGCCTGTCTACAGACAAATGACATGAGATTGCCCCCTCTCGTGTGTAGGAGAGGTGACCTTCCCTCACCGGAGACGGGCAGGAGGAGCCCTGCAGGCTGGGACTGCCGCACCGAGTCAGGGTGGCCGCTGGGGGCGGGCAGGGATGATTCCCAAACACTGAACTCTAAACTAGACATCCAAAACTAGTATGTCTTTGGCTCTTGAGTCCTAAGGCGGTCCGGTGGGTACAGTAATGGGGAATGCCTGTTTGCTGTTACATACTTACCCAAGGGCAGTGTTTATGGACCACTTTCTGTTAACTGGGCTTGAGCCAGTCCCTGTAACTCCAGGGGATGTGGAGTTCTTTAAAAAAAGGTCCTAGCCTCAAGGAATTTATTTAACTTGTTTAATAGGGCTATAATAGACATTTTTTAATCTAGCATCTCAGGAACAATGCATACCGTAGTTTTAAACAATGTAGAGTGTTATAAATTGTGTATAAATGAGTTAATATTAAGCCAAAAACACAAAACTTCACCCTACCTGTTTTTCTAGCCACAGTGCTTTTCTTCCCGTTGTGAAGCGGACAGCGGGGCCCGCACCTCCGTCACCATCCCCACCGCCACCCTGACGCCACACAGAACACAGTCCCCGCCTCGCAAGTCCTCGCCGTCCCTCACCACCCAGTCCCGCGGAGAGCACGGCGGCTGCTCGCTGCTGTCCCCCTGAGGACAAGCGTGAGAATGGGCCGTCCTTCCTTGGCTTTTATGAATCCACGTAATGAAATACAGAAGTAACACACCCTTTCCTTTTAAAATTCTTTTCTTCCTTCCTTCTTCCCCTCACTTCCTCCTATCTTTCTCTGTTCATTTTCTTCTTCTTTGAGGGAGAGGCACAAAGGATTTTTATAACATCAAAAACTTGTGTTATCATTCTAACAGTTTTGCCTTTCAAATTCACCAGGAGGTTATTAATTTATTTTTTTTCTGGGGTGGAAGCGGGTTAGGAAATATTCTCACTGTTTTACTAGCTGTGATTTAGTCTGTATGCTAAATCTGGTAGATCCTGGTGAGAAACCGCTAGAATCTTCAAAAGTGAAGATAAACTATTTTTGCTTCTGTTTTAAATGACATCCATTTTAAGGGTTAGAATATGCCTTAATGATTTTTAAACATCTTTCACGCAGATTTGACACCACCCTTCACAATCAAAAAACAATCAAATGTAGTGTGGCTAAGATTTTAAACTGTAATGTTAATTGACTCTCTCTCCATATATAGTACCAGGTAACACACCATAGCACATTCTCTATGACAGTGTTGTCTTATTTATGTTTTAAAAGAAGGACTGGGATGAATTAAATAAAATGAAAAACCTCCCATTTTTACAACTGCTTCCTTCTCACATCAGGGAGAACCTGATCCTTATTCAGCTTCTGAAGAGCCCCAAGTGGTGTATATGACACTATATATTCTACCTACCAAGGTTTGCATAGACTTGATATCAAATGTCAGCTTGTGACCCCATATACTCAATGCTTTGTAGTCAGAGTATTAATCAACAACATAACTGGAGAAGACTCCATTGTCAGTACTGGTTTTTGCTACCATTAGCATACATGAAGAACTAACCTGAGGAAATAGCTTCCACCCACCACTGGGTAACATCATAGAATCCAAGAGAGCTGAAAAGAGACATTCTCTTACCATTATCATTGCCTTGCTTGATTTCCTCCGCTGTCCGATCAATTAATACATACAAAGACCATACCACACAGGTGATCGCAATGACGTGGAATGTGACAGAGCAGAATATTTTCCTTCTTTCACTTGTGGTCATCTGTAGTTTCTCCCACTGAAATCATAAATGAATCACACAAAACTGAATTTCTAACTAAAATGTTTTGCCCCCTCTTTATATCCCCCACACAGATCATGAATAGAGGGAAAACATGAACTTTCTGCAATTTCAGAATATATATTGAAAAGGAAACAAATTACTTTCCTATTCTCCAAATGAATTAAGTCATTTCTGATTGGCTTGCCTATAGTCTCCTTTTGTGTACCATGAAAGGGATGGTTTTAATACTGTAAAATTTTTAGAAAACATTTTCTATCAAGTTTCTGCATATCAGTTCTTTGTGGTACTAGGTTCTAAGGAGTAAAAAGTAATTTCTTCTTGGATGAAAACAAAACCTGATACAGTGTTGCATCCTGGAATATATAAAATTAACAAGTATTTGAATAACAACGGTATCTGTGAGAGAAAGTTAACATCTGTTTGGAACACTTCTAGAAAACACATTATCTGAGCAATAGGAGAAAACCAGCTAAAGTCCCTTTGCGAATGCAGCCACCACTGCCATTACAATCATTGTCCCTCAGTCACACTTTTCAGAAAGTTGAGGGCTGCTCCTTCAGTCTGGGATGGAAGAGGACCACAGTTTTTATAGGAGTAAGTTAAGGTTTGTATGAGGAGATGCGTCCATTATTTACTTTGGAGAAATAGACTGTCAAGTGAAATTTTACTGCCTTGACAGCTACAGTCATTTCATTTCCTGTTTTAGGAATTGTGTCTTTATTTTTCTTTTTTGCATTATTTCTATAGGAAAATCAGTCACTATGATCGTATTGGGGATGAGTTGACGTGCCAAGTTTTCAGTAATCCATGCTTCTTTAAACTTATTATCTGCTCGCTAAAGCAAAATCTTTAGAAGTTCAGAAGACAAATTCCTCTGCCACCCCACCCCCACGCATACCATGCCCTGCACAAGTGCACTGAGAACAAGAAGGTGTATGCAGTGCTGCATCCACGGCTGGCTCTGCCCCCAGCTGGGAGGCATTGAGGCACTGATTCTCTCTGGGCTCAGCTGCCTCATCTGCATAAGGTGCAGACTGTGGCAGACGCTGTGACAGAGGTCTGGGAAGAGGATACCATTCTTATTGTCTTCCTTTATTAACAGACTGATTCTCCGAGGGGTGACCTTGTGCCCAGTTAACAACTGCTTTCCAACCTTACTTGGCAGAGGTGGGCATTGACTTTCCACCACCGTGACGTGAGTGTCTATCCACTGGAATATCAAGACTTTTCCCTCCTGGCACAGAAATTACCCCTTCTTCCTGCGCTTCATCTTCTCTTCTTTGCTACTGGGATTCATAATTCACAGTAAGAGTCCCAACAGTCATCCTGCCACCTTGAGGAAAAGTCTTGAGAACTGGAGGTCCCTCAGCTCCATCTGCACCAGCTCATCTCTGTACATCCACTTATATTACAGGAAAATGAAGGCCTGCCTGTTTAAACCATTATTTCACAGGGCTCTGTTACTTGCTGTACAAATATAATTCCTGATAAAGGAATTAAATAGATACTTCCTTCCTTCCCTTCCAGTCTGACAATTAAGACTCTGTAATTTTATTTGAAAGAACACAATAAAGTCTGATCATCATGTTCCAGAAAGCTTCTTAAATACTTTAGAGAAATAAATTTTATTTACAAACACCATCCACCCCTCCCTGTTACTGGTTACTTCCCACACAGTTTTTTTACAGGGGTCTGTTAGAGCCAGTTAACAATTCATATGTCATCTTATACTTCCTTTTCCAACAAACAATATTTTATGTATTATTCCGAGTAAATAATGGAGAAATCCTAGTAATACAGCTAGGAGAAAACCAGATGCTTTGATCTAGAATCTACTTTTAATTAATCAACACCAAATTGACAAGATTTTAATATGTGCATCTTGGCTTTTATCAGAACTTTACATCATACTTGTAAAAGATTGATTTTTAAAATTTCATTTTGTTACTGATTTATTATAAAGTTAATATGAAAAACTTATAATTATAGAACAGAGTATGTCATTTCATGATTTAATAGCTGTTCTTGCATCACCTCGATATTCAATATGACCAAATAAAGCTGCAAGATGGTGCAGAAAAGCAGCTTTACATGTTCAAATTTCCTCAGTGTTCCAAGTGGATGAGAATATCTTCAGTTATGTAAAAATGACTTTAAAAACCCCTTAAAACTGGGTCTTCTTAAATTTAAGGAGAATTTTGATGAAGTGGCTGAAACACGTTCTTGAACATTCATAAGCCGCAAATATAAAAATATCCGTGGAGCTGACAGGGACGAACCAAACCATCTGCAGAGACTCCTCCCAGTTCCAGACGACAGAAGTTCTGGAAGCGTTACTTCCTAAGCTCAGGAGCACTTTAAGGAGAAGTGAAGTGTAAAGGGGTCATCAGGCTTTCCTGTTTTCCTTCAAAAACCTTTACAGGGATGACTCAGGAATCCAGTGGACGGCACACGCGTATCTGTGGCCCCACAGCGCCCTCTGCCTAGTGATCACACTACTGCATACAATGTTCTGGACATCGACCCAAGTCAATGGGTTTATAAAAGGTTCGTCTACATCCTTGTATTTCCAGGTTTCTATGCAGAGTTTGAGTAAGCTTTGCAAGCCCTCACAGAGAGGCAAGAACGGGATCGTGATCAAGAAGGCAAAGATAGAAATCTTATTTTAACAAAGCTGTCATGAAAGGACATTAATTTAATATTTGGCATGATGAAATTCACTACCAGTTCGCAAAAGATTTTGCAACAGGAAAGTGATAATCTGCCCAGACGCACACAGCATTTGTGCTCCTCCTTTCTGTTATATAAAATTGTGTGTGCGTGTGCTCACGAAAGCACGCGAACACTATTGGCCCTTGTCTCTGGAGGGGGTGCTGGAGAGGAGGCCTGGCTGCTCAGTGTGGCTCCCGACTTTGCAGCAGCCCTGCCGCCAACGCCTGGGCGCTGTCTACAGATGCACATTCTCGTGCTCCACTTCTGGGATGACTTCTTGGTGGCTTTGCCTTCAGGACACAAATACCCTGGCCTGGTCACTGAGCACACGTGTGTCCCAGAGTTCCCAGTGATGAGACCGCAGCTCCCCTTCGCCCCTCCCCGCCGCGCACCGCCCAGCTCTCCGCAGATTGTGTCCTCTCTCCCAACTGTCCCCACCAGGACTCGAGCTCTCTTTCACACCTTCAGAATAAGGGACAAGGGAAGGTGGCCAACCAGCCCCATAGCATCTCAGCGCCTCCTGTGCAGGCAGTCCTGGACGCTGCTTTAGGCATTTCAACCTCTCCGTCTTTAGTGCCTGTTGTGTTGTTCTTGGACTTGGGTCCCTTACCCGAAACCCTCACCATTAGAGAGAAATGTACAGAACCGTTACTCACTTAGAAACATACTACTAGATTTTTCTGAAAAGACTCCCAAATGGAGTGTAAATTAATGCAAACATTGCGTTTGTGAAATTTTCCAACTGCTCTAGTCAAATCAAACTGCAGGTTTTCTAATTTAAATTAGTTGTATTATTTGTATTCTGTACTAAAATACAAATTCAAAAGCACTGCCTAATGAGAATGCTTTTAAAATCTTTGTCAAAATACATGAGATAGGGACTGCTTTACTAAATTCATTTCCTTTTCTTCTTTGACACGGTTTACTACATTTTCCAGCTTTCTTAACAGGCACAGAAACCAGAATTTTCAATGAATCTGTACAATGCTAGAGCAAACAACTACCACCAGGTGGCGCTAGGCCCAAAGTGTAGCTGATACCAAGCCCATGTTTTCCTTGTACAGCCAGACCAGGAGCTCCCAGGCAGGCAGCTGTGCAGGCTTGCTGTTGTCATATCATCAACGAAGAATATGCAAAACCAGATTTAACTGCCCTCCCGTCACAACATTTAAACATTTCTGGCCCTGCTTATCATATTATGATGTTTTATTGCATATGATCAAAAATAATACCTGAAATAGCAAGTCTATAAAGTTTATTACATTATTAACATGCTTTAGTAAGATATTCTGTGCTCGAGGATAGTAAATAGACCCTGCAAAAGTTTTGGGGCTTACAATATTGGTGACGTTTCTAGAGGGCCCATTGGTCTGAGGCTTTGATTCTTAAAGAGTGTTCTCCAGAAGTATCAGTATCAGCCTGGGACTTGTTAATGTTAACTAATAACAAGGAAGGCCATCACGCTGATGTGGTTCTAATGTGGCATGAGCCCATGTAAGCAAATCCAAATCTAAGCCTGTAAATGCCTCAAGGCTCAGAACCCTAAGGGTAACCAGTCACCAACGGCCCCCAGGTTCTCAGCCAATCAATCGGCTGACTTACGTTCTTTGCTCTTGCGCTTTCTCAGTGAGTTTCCGTGGCTCCCGCAGGTGGAGCGCTCCTAAACCGCTCTGATCTGTCACTGCCTGAGTCCAGTGGATTTTTGCTCAAATAAACTCTTAAAAATGTCTATATGCCTTAGCTTAGAATGTTAGAAATGCAGAATTTGGGGCCCCATGCCAGACTTACCAAATCAGAAACTCTGGGGGTGGAGCCCTGCAATCAGTGCTTTAACAAGCCTTCACATGATTTTGATGCTTGCTAAATTTTGAGAACCATCTAACTAATGCACGAAGAGATTCGGCAGTTATAGGGCGATCTCAGTGGCGTCTATATTAGAAACAGCACTTGCCACACCCTGTCATAAACTAAGTAGCAGTCCAGGGAAGGGAAATCAGCAAACAAGTTTGTTTACTTGAATGTGATGTAAATATTTCAGGTCAAGTGAAGAATCACAGAATCATTGAATTTGTTTGAAATAAAATCAAGTTGACTTTGCACATTAATCACTACCACAAACTGGTTCTTTTTTCTTTCACTTCTTAAATAACTGTTTAGATACATGAGAGTGTATTAAAGTCTGTTTTTATTAGTTACGATTTTAACTACTTTGGGAGAGAACCAAACAACAGACTCTTAACATTTATGATGAGTGACTCTTGAGATCTGAATGAGTCTCCAAG